CATTCAAATTTAATAAAACATTGAAGTCATCAGACAGTGTTAGAAACATTCAAACCTTGTAAGATTTGAGTTTCTCTGTCAGCCGTCACGTCTCTGCTGTTAACTTCCTCAGCTGCACCCAGAGGACACTTTGATCCACTCACCAGAGACTTTATCAATCCTCAGTCTTTATTCTTCCAGCAGAAAATTGTTTTCTATGTGATGATGATTCATCAGAACGCAGTGAAAAGGAGCTCATCAGCATCAGCATCAGCATCAGCATCAGGCCACGGCTTGACTGGAGGTATGAAGCTCGTTTAAAATCTTTCGATGGTGTAACAGGGTCATAAATCACATCTTGTTATAATTACACAAAATGTGTTCCAAACCCCCAAACTGTTCCTTTTATACCTGACTTTTAGGACCTCCAAGCCTGTAGTTATGTTCATTATCAGTTAGAGCTCCTCCTCATTCTTTTCTTCTTCTTCTTTGGTGCAACCCTATAAATACAGTGTACCCCTTTGGCCTTTCCCCTTTTCTACAATTCCCCTGTGGGAGAGGAGCTGGAGTGGGCAAATGATTTACTTGGAGGCCTTTCTTTCTTTTACCTTTTTTATCAGACACAGCGCAGAATCACACCGGTTACACTGGAAACAAACTTGCTCCCTGATGTTTTGGTTTCCACTCTATAAAAATATTCTTATTTTACCATAATAACAACAAATATCATGATGTTGAACCAGCTGACAAATGTGTCATGTGCTTTTTAGAGAAATCTAGTTCTGCCTGATACAGTTTGCCTGCTTTAATACTGATTCCTTTTCAGTGCTGCATTACAGAGACATGCAGGCATAACTATTCGCTCTTTAATTGTAAAAAGACTTGAGGTGAGGAAAAACAATAAAATAAGTAAACATTTTATTTTTGTAGATGTCTAATAACAGCTTTGTAATCCTCAATTGTTATTAAATATTTATTTTATCTCTGATAAATAAATAACTGCTGACAGATGTTAATTCATTGCAATAATGACAAAAAGTCTGGATTTTGCTACTTTTACTCTAAAAATGATTTTTTTTAAAACAGGGAGTAAAATAAACAGATTAACATAAAACGTTTGAATTACATAAAAACGTATTTTTGCACAAATTTTCAGCTTCTGTGATTCAAAGTGAAGGTTTGCTGCCCTCCTGCGACGGAAGGAGCTCACACACCCACGCTGCCTTCACGACACGTAGAAACTCGGACATCTCAGCTTCGTTTTACTAAAATTTCGGATGACAAACACCCGCCGATTATAGTGATCTTTAGTAAAATCACTGTTTAGATTTTCTTCCTTTGATCTGTTGACGTCATCGTTGTTCTTTTAACGGTAAAAGGTGAAATACACACAGCCTGTCCTCCGGTCGCTCCAAGTCTCCGATCTCCTATTTAACCCCAGCCCGTGAACGCAGCACCAGGACCAGCCTGCCTCACATTGTTAACGTTGATTTCTCCCGTTCAAAGCAGCATTTTGTCTTCCGTGAGCCGAACCTGGATCACAGCCTCCCACTAACCGCATGAAATCTCGGCTCCGTCAGGCAGCGGGACCCCCACCGGCACACGGTAAGAGCTCCACGGAGTAATCTGGAAACCCCCCGTTTCCCGGTGAGAAATCTTTCCAGCTAAGGTTCATATCTCAGACTCCGGAGGAATAAAACGTTACCGGGGCGAGCCGTGCTGTTACTGCGGGGGGAGCTGAGGGGTCTGGTGGTTAAAGTAGTTGTTTTGGGGGGGCACTTTGTCCCGCACGGTTAAACCGGGTCAGACACCTGTGCGGCTCGTTATTGTGACTTTCCTCAGCAGTCATTTTCCTCACCGGGCTGAAAGCAGCAGCAGGAGGTTAGCGTGTTTCCCATGGCTACACCAAGCGTCCACACGGGGTTATTTGCGTTCCTCTCCGGCCTGTGGCGACACACACGCATGCGTTATTATTATTATTATTATTATTATTATCTTAAAACTGGCAGCCAGATAACTGAGCCGGGAGTCCCGGGCAGAGCGGCCAGGTCAGCTCCGGGGGTCGTGACGTCGCCGGGGCTGCAGGTTCAGCTCCGTCACTTTGGGCTCCTTTTGTTGACTGCTCGCCCACCTTTCCCCGCAGCTGCACGGTTTCATAATCTAACGCTCTCGTTTCTTCTGCCTCCTCCTGTTGATCTCCGTGTGGAAGCCCGAGCATGAGGAGGATCGGCGGCCGTTCCCCTGCCCAGACCGGAGGCTGCTGGTAGGGATGGTGTGGCTGTGAAGAGCCGGTGTGACGAGCCTGCGGTCGGGGGAAGAAGTGCCTGGACAACATGACTGTTTTCAACCCGGAAAATGTGGAGGAATTTTATGACATCGGGGACGAGCTGGGGAGGTGAGTCCACACCGAGCTTGTTTCTAATGCGCATCAACTTCCCCTTTCTGTGCCCGGGGCGGGGGTGCTGGGAAAAGAGCTGTTTTCATTAAGATAATAAATGTTTCAAAGTTGATTTAGCCCATCTGTGCAGAGCTGTGGTCCACGCGTGTCTGAATCCCCCCACTGTGAGGGAGTGAGTGTGATAAGCTGTGATTAATAGTCTATAATGCAGTGTCAGTGATGAAGAGTTGCTGTGTGTACCTGGGCTTTGTTGCAGGAGGCTGATGTAGATCTTTACAGGGAGGTGTCCATCCTGGCTGTCACTCCTGTGATTGGTCAAAGCTGGATGCTGATAATCAGAAGAAGCTGACTGTGTATGAAACACTGTGACAGAGCTGAGTTTGGTTTGCAGGGCGGCTCGAATGTGGCAGATGATTCCAAACATAACGTGTTTGTTGACTGGAGCAAACTGCCGACCTGGCTTTACCTTCCTCATCGAAAATCTCTGGTGCCGTCATCTTTGCTGAGCTGACAAAAGCAGTCAGAGTGAGTTTGTTTGGGCTGTTGGAGAAGAGCGAGGACGTGCAGCAGCACAGAGTTGATCTGGATGATGTTTTGAAGACTTCATTTGAACCAAATCCAGGTTTTGGTTAATTGAACAGCTTCACAAATGTTGTTTTTTAATCATAAGTTAGTTTAAGTGAAAGCAGATTTTCCTGTTTTCACTGTGACTTTATTGCTGATTCAGTTAAAAAATGTGATTACATAATAATAAAGGCAGAAATGATGCAGCCAAGATGCACTCCAGCTCCCAGATGTGTCACAGCTGTGGAAGTGGGTCTCTGAGTTTGTGGTTATGAAACGTTGGTAATAATCAGCCAGCTGTTTTCTGCTCCGCGGCCTTTGTGGCGTTGCTGATTCTGTGTCGTGTTCACCTTCCTGCTCTCTGAGGAAAGCCTGCGCTGCTGTAGTAACAGAGACGATCGGGGAGCTGTGTTGATGGGATTGAGTTTCTGGCCTGAGGTAAAGTAGACGCCAGCGTGATCGTCTCGATTGGCTGGGATCCGCTCTCTGTTGAGGATGGATGGGGAGAATAGAGAGCACGTCAGCCGCCATCATTATTAAACCATCCTAAATATTCCAACATCTGGAGTGTTGGGATAGAAAATAACTGCTCCTGTCGTCAGTCCTGTCATTCATGCATGCTGTTTGTTTCTGTGGGAAACTTCTTTTGCACAAAGAGGCGTGCAGCATGTGTGCAGCTGGAACTAGACGTGTTCTTGTTTCTGCTGCGTCTTTTATGGGTG